TTACATTTACACAACTGGTACTGTTCACATCTCCACCTTTAACCCACACTCTCTCCCTGTCCCCTGCCAAAATCCAGGTCATCAGAGATAACATCCATCTTTCAGTTTTAGCAAGAAATCCTCCTTGGGGATGGTAATGGCCCATTGGCATTCTCACTGAATTGGTAATCCAGAGTCCCAGATGATGTCCTTGGGAACTGGGTTCGAATCCCACCATGGTGGAATTTGAACTCAGTTCAAACAAAATCTAGAATTATGAGTGCAATGATTACCACAAAACCATTGCTGATGTTTGGGAAAAACGAATGTGGTTCACTTATGTCCTTTAGAAAGGGAAACTGCAGTCTTTCCCTGGTCTAGCTTCCGTGTGACTGCATTCCCACAGCAATCCCCTCTGGGCAATCAGGGATGGGTAAGAAATGCCAGCACAAGCCAATGATGCCCTCATCCTATGAATGAATCAAAAATAAATTCCAGTTCCGCGCCCCCATCCCTTTGCAATAGCTCATTGGGAAAGATACCATACATGATGAGCTGAATGAGAAGACAGAACATATATATCAGTACAGCACAGAAACAGGACCTTCAGCACACGCCAAATTAAACTAAGCCCTTGTGCCTGCCAATGGTCTATACCTGTCCATTCCCTGCATATTCATGTGATGATCAAAAAGCCCCTTAAACGCCTCTATCATATCTACCTCAACCATTTACACAGAGCAGAGCATTTCAAGCACCTACCACTCTGTGTGAAAAAAAAACTTGCCCCTCACATCTTCTTTCAACCTTCCCCCCATCACCTGAAATGCATGCCCCTAGTTTTAGACATTTCAACTCTGCAGACTGTCAAACGCATGTCCAAATAAAGGTTAGAATCATAGAATCCCTACAGTATGGAAATAGGCCCTTCGGCCCAACAAGTCCACACCGACACTTGGAGAATCCCACCCAGACCCATCCCCATCCCCATCCCCATCCCCCTATAACCCACCTAAGCTACACATCCCTGGACACTATGGGGCAATTTAGCATGGCTAATCCACCTAACCTGCACATCTTTGGACTGTGGGAGGAAACCAGCGCACATGGAGGAAACCCACGCAGACACGGGGAGAATGTGCAAACTCCACACAGACAGTTGCCCAAGAGTGGAATTGAACCCGGGTCCCTGGTGCTGTGAGGCAGCAGTGCTAACCACTGAGCCACTGTGCCACCTAACGGCTGCGTGCTTTCGTTGTTGTGGTTTACAACTACAATCCCCGATTCAAGCGGCCAAGAGAAATAAAAGTACTGACCCGAAAGAAGACCCCAGGAAGAGGGTGGGTTAGGAAGAAGGCAAACAAAACATAAAGAAAATAACCGAAACCGTTAGGGCTTTCAGCCCTCTTCTCAAACCCCCACACCAAAAGCGCAGGATTTTCCCCTTCATTCTCCCCCTCCACCACAACAATCAGGCAGGATTGGTGTAGTGTGGTGTGGCTGGTCTGCAACAGGTTTGCTCAGTGTGGATTGTGAGTCTGAGGCCTGTGTGAGAGATAGTGGGAAGCAAGGAGAATATGGACTGAACTATTGAGTGCTGGTCTTTCTCACACATCATCTCCCCCACAGCCTGCACACCCTCCTCCTGCAATCTCACAAAGATGCCTCTTGGTTTGCACCATATGGGGGCTGTGGGAGATATGCTCCAGATAGAGGGAGCTGGCAATTGACTGGATGAAGCTGGAATTTGTGAGCCATGGTGGGATTTGAAACCCAGGTCCCCAGAACATTACCTGGGTCTCTGGATTAACAGTCCAGCAATAATACCTTTAGGCCATCACCTCACCCTGGCAGATAGCAGATTTCCATCCTTAAAGGGCGTTAGTGAACCAGACCAAGGCGGGGGGAGCATTCTGACATTAGGCCAGATGACTAGTAATGAGTAATTCTCCTGGCAGCTTGGGACCCACAACTTTTTCTGTTATTAAGAGCTTCACTTTCCCCGAGGCATCAGAAACGTGTCATAGAGTTACGCAGCATGGAAACAGACCTTTCAGCCCAATCAGGTTTCCCAAATTGAACCAGTCCCGTTTGCCATACTTTTGGCCCACATCCCTCTTAATCTTTCTCATTCATGTACCTATCCAAACGTACTTCAAATGTTGTAATCATACTGGCTTCTACCACTTCCTCTGCAGTTCATTACATACAGGCACCACCCTACACATGAAAATCTTTCCCCTCTCACCTTAAACCTACGCCCTCTAGTGTTGGACTCCCGTACCCTGGAGAAAAGACTTTGGCTATTCACCTTATCTATGCCCCTCGTGATTTTATGAACCTCAGTAAGGCCACCCCTCAACTGCCAAGGCTCCAGGGAAAAGAGCGCCAGCCTTTCCTTCTACTTCCAACCCTCCAGTCTCAGTAAAATCCTTGTAAATTTTTTTTTCTGCACCCTTTCCCGTTTAATAACGTCCTTCCTGTAGCAGAGAGACCAGGATTGCACGCAGTACTCCATATGTGGCCTTACCAATGTCCTGTACAGCCACAACATGACTTCCCAACTCCTACACTCAATGCCCTGACCAATGAAAGCAAGCGTACAAATGTCTTCACCATCCTGTCTAACTGCAACTCCACTTTCAAGGAACTATGTACCTGAACCCCTAGGTCTCTCTGTTTGGCAACACTCCCAGGACCTTACCCACATCCCCCCGTTAACTGTATAAATACTGACCTGGTTTCCCTTACCAAAATGAATCTCCCATACTCCATGTGATCTAGAACAAAAACAAAGTTGCTGGAAAAGCTCAGAAGGTCTGGCAGCATCTGCGTACAAAAAAATCAGGGTTCCCGTTTCGGGTCTGGTGACCCTTCTTCAGAACTGTGAGCCATGTGATCTAACCTTGCTAACTAGTCTACCATGCGTAACCTTTTCAAAAGCTTTGCTAAAGTCCACATAAATATGTCTATCACTCTGCTTTCATGGTCAGTTTTTCAAAAACCAAGTTGTGAGACACAATGCCCCACGCACAAAGCCGTGCTAACTATTCTTAATCAGTTCTTGCTTTTCCAAAGGAGTGTAAATCCTGTCTCTCAGAATCCCCTCCAACAACTTACCCACCCAGTAATGTCAGGCTCACCAGTCTGTAGCTCCCTGGTTTTTCCTTGAAGACTCTGGTAAACAGCATCACATTAGCCACCAGGGAGCCTATGATGCTGCTTGGCCTGCTGTGTTCATCCAGCTCTGCACCTTGTTGTCTCGGATTCTCCAGCATCTGCAGTTCCTACTATCTCTCACATTAGCCACCCTCCAGTCATCCGGCACCTCACCCATGGCTGTCGACGCTACAAATATCTCCAGGGCGGGCCCCACAATTATTTTCCGTAGCTTCCCACAATGTTCTGGTCAGGTCCCGGCCATTTAGCCACTTTTATGCACTTTAAGTCCCACGGCACTTTCTCTTCTGCACTAGTGGGCTCTCTTTCAACACATCGCTATTTATTTCCGCACATTCCCTAACTTCCACGTCTTTCACCACTGTAAATACTGATACGATAACATCCAAAAGGCTTCAGCTCACATCTCACTGCATTTCATTTCCAGGAGGCCAAGAGACGTACGAAGTGTGAGGTGCGTTTTAATCTGAAAGTCCAGGATGAATAATTCCAAAGGAGTCAGTCAGTTAGCCATTTGAGGTGTGTTCACAGCAGCTTTATAATTGCTTACCCATCCTGGCCTACACCGGACTCCAGACCCACAGCAAAGGGACAAAAACAAAGTTGCTGGAAAACTTCAGCAATTCTGGCAGCATCTGTGAGCATTTCCGGCAATTTTTTTTTCATGATTCAGAGCATCGGCAGTTCTTTAGGTTCCCACAGCAAAGGGAGTTGGCTCTTAATTTTTTGTCATTTATGTAAGTGATGCAGAGGTGAACATACATGCTTTGGCAAGTTTGTAGATGACACCAAAATTGGCGGTGCATGTACAGTGAAGATGGTTATCTCAGATTACAACAGGACCTCGATCAGATGGGCCAATGGGCCGAAGAGTGCCAGATGAAGTTTAACTTAGATAAATGTGGGATGCTGCATTTTGGAAAGGTAAATCAGGGCAGGACTCATACATTTAATAGTAAGGCTCTGGAGATCACTGTAGAACAGACAGGTCTTTGAGTGCAGGTTCATAATTGTTGGAACATGGAATAGGGTAGCGATTGAGGTGTTTGGTACGCTGGCCTTTATTGGTCAATGCATGGAGTAAGGGAGTTGGGAGGTCATGTTGTAGTTGCACAGGACACTGGTTAAGCCACTTTCAGAATACCACACTCAATCTGGTCTCCCTGCTATATGAAAGATGTTGTGAAGTTTGAAAGGGTTCAGAAAAGATTCACAAGGGTGTTGCCAGGGTTGGAGGGTTTGAGCTACAGGGAGAGGCTGAATAGGCTAGGACTGTTTTCACTGGAGCATCAGAGGCAGAGGGGTGACCTTCTAGAGGTTTGTGAAATCACAAGGGGCATGGATAGGGTGAAAAGTCAAGGTCTTTTCCCCAGGGTAGACAAGTCCAAAAGTAGAGGACATCAGTTTAAGGGGAGAAGGAACGAAGGAAAGATTTAAAAGGGACGTGAGGGGCAACTTTTTTTCACACAGAGGGTGGTGCACGTATGGAATGAGCCAGAGGACATTGAAGCGGCTGTGTCAGAATTACAACATTTAAAAGGCATCTGGATGGATACATGAACAGGAAGGATATGGGCCAAATGCGAGCAAACAGGACTGTATTTCTTTATAATGGCTTGTCAGGGCAGGCAAGTTGGACTCAAGGGTCTGTTCCCATGCTGCACAGCTCTATGTCCCTCTGAAATGGCCCAAGAGCAATGCCCAGTTCATCAAGGAAGGCAATTAGAGACAGGCATCAAAGTGAGAGAGAGAGAGAGACACACAGGCGCCCACACTCTCACAAACACAGACACACACACGCCCAAACTCTCACAAACACAGACAGAGAGAGGCCACAGTGGTACTGATTCCCATGATCTTTTTTATTAAATTTGATTGATTAATGTCAGTGAACACACACACAAACACACTGCAGTGCTGGTTTTTCTCACAACATCAACTGCTCGGACATGGTGATCAGGAATGCCCTTTCGGAGAGGGAAGAGGGCAAAGCCGGTGGGATCTTCCACCAGGGAGTGTGAAGGTGGCACAATGTGCGGTTAACTCCCCACCCTCCAGCGAAGCAGCAGACTGAGCCTGACCCGTCGTTGTGACTGGAGTCTCTCTTCTCTCCTCCACATCCCCTGCTCACCCCCCCACAGGGGGGCAGGCCGAGTCTGTTATCGTCCAGTGAGGTTCAGACATTTAAAACAAAGAGCGGGAGAGAGAGAAGCCATCTCATAAAAACAATTAAAAAGAAACACAAAGTCTCGAAACTAAAAGCCGAACAAAGACAGGAGGCTGCACACACACATGGGGAGGTGGTGTGTGTTTGTGTGTGGAGGGGGGGGGTTGGGGGGAGGTGGTGGAAGAGTGCCTTACACGCTTCCACCCTCTCGTGGACAGCTGACTATCCAGCTTCCCCCCAACCCCCGGGATCAGAGAAAGACAGGGAGGTGCTGACCGGTGGGCGGGGTGAGGTGAGGTTAGGTAGGGAGGGAGGCAGGGAAACCTCTCAGCCAGAGAAGGGGCAGGGGACAGCAGAGGGGAGGGGAGGAAGGGACCTGCAGCCTCACATGGCCATCAGGAGGGTGATGGGGCAATGGTCCGAGCCCAGCGCCCCAGACCGGATCTTGCTGTCACACAGACTAGGAAGCAGCGACTGAGACATCACAAAGTAGTCAAGCCTCCAGCCCACGTTGCGGGCACGGCAGTTTCCCAGGTACGTCCAGAAGGTGTAGGCGTGCCTGGCATCCGGTCGCAGGTGGCGGTACGTGTCCAGGAAGCCCTGGGACAGCAGCTGGCCGAAACCATCCCGCTCTTGGGCGGTGAAGCCGGCCGTCTTCTTGTTGGTCTTGGGGTTCCTCAGGTCGATCTCCTGGTGAGCCACGTTCAGGTCCCCGCACAGGATCACCGGCTTCTTGCTGTCCAAGCCCTTCAGATAGCTGGAGAAATCCTTATCCCAAGTCTGACGGTAATCCAGCCGCACCAAGCCCCTCCCTGAGTTCGGCACGTAGGCTGTCACCAGGAAGTACTTGTCAAACTCAGCGGTGATCACTCGGCCCTCATTGTCGTGCTGTTCCACACCTAGCCATCGGCACAAGAAGATGCATACACATTGGTCTGTTAGGGTTAGTTACAATGACAGGGATTGGTCCGTGAGGGTCACCCGTGGCGACAGGGATTGGTTGCAATTGGGTTTAAATACTATTTAACCAACACATTGAGCCAACGAGTAGCAAGTAACATTCGCTGAGCACAAATGCTGGTCAATGACCATTTCCAATGGCATTCAATGGTGTTACCATCACTCTATCCCCCCCGACGATCAAAATCCTGGGGGTTACCATTGAGTGAGAATCTAACCCCTGCTCCTTGATATTCAATGGTGTTCCCATCACGGAATCTTCCCCACAATCAATATCCTGGGATTTGACCATCTCCAACAGTTATATCACCTACGCTGGCAGTGAATTCCAGGCACTTACCACCTTCTGTGTAAAAACAACCTGCCTCTCTTCCCACCTTTTAACTCTTCCCCTCTTTTACCATAAAGCTATGTCCCCTAGTTAGTGAGTCACACAGCATAAAAACAGACCCTTCAGCCCAACCAGTCTATGCCAAACATAATCCCAAACTAAACTAGTCCCACCTGCCTGCTCCTGGCCCAAATCCCTCCAAACCTTTTCTATTCATGAACTTATCCAAAAGTCTTTTAAATGTTGCAAATGTACCTGCATCCACCACTTCTCAAAGTTCATTCCACACACAAACCACCCTGTGTAAAAAAAGTTGCCCCGATGTCTTCTTTTAAGTCTCTCACCTCAGAAATATGCCCAATAGTCTTGAAATCCCCCATCAAAGACAACTACCATTAACTCTAGCTATACCCCTCCATTTCATCATCATAGAATCCCTACAGAGTGGAAACAGGCCCTTCGGCCCAACAAGTCCACATCGACCCTTGGAGCATCCCACCCAGACCCATCCCCCTATAACCCACCTAAGCTACACATGCTTGAACACCATGGGCAATTTCTCATGGCCAATCCACTACTCTGCACATCTTCAGACTGTGGGTGGAAACCGGAGTACCCAGAGGAAACCCACGCAGACACAGGGAGAATGTGCAAACTCCACACAGACAGTCACCCAAGGGTAGAATTGAACCCAAGTCCCTGGCGCTGTGATGCAGCAGTGCTAACCACTGAGCCACCAGGCCGGCTCAAAATAAACTTCTGTAAGATCACCTTTCAACCTCCTATGCTCCAGTGGAAAAAGTCCCAGCCTATCCAGCATTTTTTTTTTTACAACCCAAACCTTCCATTCCCAGCAACGTCTTGGTAAATCTCTTCCGAATAATATCCTGCCTATAATGGGGTGACCAGAACTGGACACAGTATTCCAGAAGAGGCCTCACCAATGTTTTGTACAACCTCAACATGACTTCCCAACTCCCATACTCAAAGGACTGAGCAATGAAGACAAGCGTGCGAAAAGCTTTTTTAACTGTCCTGTCTATATGTGATGCAAACTTCAAAGAATTGTATACCCGAAGCCTTAGATCCCTGTTCTGCAACACCTTCCAAGGCCCTACCCTTGTCTGTTGTACCAAAATGCATTACCTCACATTTATCCAGATTGAACTCCATCTGCCATTTTTTTCAGCCCATTGACCCATTTGATCAAGATCCCATTGAAATCTTAGAAAATCTTCTTCACTGTCTACTATGCCACCAATTTTGGGGTTGTCAGCAAACTTACTAACCAAGCCTTCTATATTCTCATCCAAATCATTTTATATAAATGACAAACGAAAGAAGACCCAGAACCTTTCCGCTGATCACAGGCCTCCAGTCCGAAAAGCAACCCTCCACCATTACTCTCTGTCTCCTGCCATTAAGCCAATTTTGTATCCCATTAGCAAGCTCACTCTGAAACCCACGTGGCCTAACTTTATTAATTAGTCTACCATGCAGAACCTTGTTGGAGGCTTTACTAAAATCCAAAGAAACAACGTCTCCTGCTCTGCCCTCATCAGTCTCTTTTGCAATTTCCTCAAGAAACCCATTCAAATTTGAGAGACACGATTTTCCTTGCACAAAACCATGCTGACTATCCCTAATCAATTTTTGCCTCTCTAAGTGTCCATAAATCCGATCTTTCATAATCGCCTCCAATAATTTACCCACAACCGAAGTCAGATTCACAGGTCTACAGTTCACCCATTTCTCTTTATAAACTTTCTTAAACAAACGTACAACATTAGCCACCCTCCAGTCATCAGGCACCTCACCCATAATTATAGACGATGCAATACTTCTGCAAGGGGTCTCGCAAATTCCCCCTTTACTTCCCACAGCGTTCACGGGATACATTAGATCAGGTCCCGGAGATTTATCCACCTTTATATTCTCTAAGACCTCCCAAACATCCTCTTCTGTAATGCAAACTGTTTTTAAAACATCAAAATTTATTTCTGTGTTCTCTCGCGTCCACAGTAAAAACTGACGTGAAATATTCATTTAGTACCTCTCCCATCGCCTGGGGTTCAAAACAAGGACAACCTCCTTGATCTTTAAGAGATCTCCCTGGTTTACCCTCTTGCTCTTAATGTATTTGCAGAATCTCTTTGGATTGTGCTCAACCTCATCTGCCAATGCTATCTCATATCCCCTCTTTGCCTTCCTGACTTCTTCCTTAAGAATGCTCCTACTCTCTTTATATTAAGAGATTCAATTGAACCACCTTGTCTATATCTAAAATAAGATTCTCTTTTATTCTTGACGAGAGCTTCAATACCTTTATTCATCCATTGTTCCTTAATCTTACCAGCCTTACCCTTCACTCTAACAGGAACACAATACCTCTCAACTCGTCATTACACTCTTGAAAGCTCTCCTTTTACGTGCGAACTGTCTACTCCAATCGAGTCTTGAAAGTTTTTGTCATGTCATATCATGTCACAGAATCCCTACAGTGTGGAAACAGGCCCTTCGGCCCATCAAGTCCACACCGACCCTAGAGGATCCCATCCTGTCCCATCCCCCAACCCCCAACCCCTTCCCTGCAGCCCACCTAATCTATGCATCCCTGAACACAATTTAGCATGGTCAATCTACATAAGCTGCACATCTTTGGACAGGGGAAGGAAACTGGGCACCCAGAGGAAACCCACACAGACACGGGGAGAATGTGCGGACTCCACACAGATTGCCGCACAAGGTTGGAATCAAACCCGCGTCCCTGGCACTATGAGGCAGCAATGCTAACCACTGAGCCATCGTGCCCACCTCCCCCGCCATTAAAATTTGTCTTACTCCAATTCCACGGTGGGAAAAAGACTCTAGACTATCCAATCTACCCACGCCTCCAATAATTGCGTAAACCTCTAACAGGTCGCCCCTGCACCTCAGCCTCGACGTTCAAGTGAAAACAAACTGAGGTTATCCAATCTCTCCTCGCAGGTAATACCCTGTGAACCAGGCAACAGTCCTGGTAAAAGTGATACTGTACCCTCTCTGGAGCCTCCTCATCCACCTAGCAGCGTGGGGACAGAACTGTACACGATATTCCCAAAGCATCAACTTTTACACTCTGTGCCCCAACCAACAAAGGTTGGCATGCCGTCCGCCTTCCACATCACCTTATCCACTTGTCCCTTTTATAAGTGGATGGCAGAACTGAGCACTAGCTGTGTGGCCTATTGCAGGGTCTCAGACAGCTCCCTCACCCCTTTCTGCTCTTAAAGCTTTATCGCCGTGCGGCATGGGGTAAGTTTCCCAGGTGCCTCCTGAACTGATTTCTCTTCCTTTCCTGATGAATACAGGGAGTGGCAGACACATTACACCAAGGACCAATACTTCTTGCTCAATATCCCTTAAAACCACCAGGACAAAATAACTTCTTAAAGCCACAGCATCGTCACAAACAGAACCTTGACCGGATGAGCCGATGGACCAAGGAGTGGCAGATGGAGTTTAATTTGGATAAATGTGAGGCATTGCGTTTTGGTATGGAAAATCAGGGCAGGGCTTACACACTTAATCATAGGTCCCTGGGCAGTGTTGCCAAACAAGGAGACCTTGGGGTGCAGGCTCACAGATCCTTGAAAGTGGACATGACAGTGAAAAAGGCTTGCCGTTACTGGTTACTGTATTGAGGATAGGAGTTGGAAGGTCATGTTGCAGCTGTACAGGACATTGGTTAGGCCGCTTTTGGAATATCGCGTTCAATTCTGGTCTCCCTGCTGTAGGAACTTGACAGAGTTCAGAAAAGATTTGAGAGGATGTTGACGGGTTGGAGAATTTGAGCTATAGGGAGAGGTTAAGGCTATTTTCACTGTAGTGTCAGAGGCTGAACGGTGACCTCAGAGGTTTATAAAATCATGAGGGGATTGGATAGGGTGAACAGCCAAGGTCTTTCTCCACCCCCCCACCCCCCGCCAGGGTATAGGAGTCCCAAACTAGAGGGCATAGGTAAGGTGGGAGGGGGAAAGGTTTAAAAGGGACCCAAGGGATAACTTTTTCACGCAGAGGGTGGCGCGGGTATGAAACGAGCTGCTGGAGGAAGTGGGTGGGGGCTGGTACAGTTACAACATTTAAAAGGCATCTGGATGGTGACATGACTAGGAAGGGTTTAGAGGGATATGGGCCAAACGCTGGCACATGGGACTGGATTCATTTAGGTCATCTGGGTCAGCAGGGACAAGTCGGGCCAAAGGGTCTGTCTCCGGGCTGCACAACTCCCCGACTGCCTCTCTCTGACCTCTCTGTGCTCCGTCTGTGGTGAATCCATACACTCACCAATTCCGAACGTGACGTTCAGAGGCTTGACTTTACACAGCATGCCCACTCCGCTGTAGCCCTCCTTGTCCTGAGGCGAACTCCAGTACTGGTGCGGGAACTCGGGCAGCTCTTTCACTTCCGCTGGCACCTGCTTCTCGCTGCATTTGGTCTCCTGGAGACACATGATGTCAGGGCTCTCCGACGTCACCCACTGGCGAGACGGAAGTGAGACAGGGGAAAAAAAAAAAAGAGTCACAGCCCACGCGGAGTCCATTCCCTGCCGTGCTTCCATTTTTCACAACGCAGTCAGTGGGAACGAAAGCTCAGACACCTTTGCTGCACGGGGCAGGGCTCGCAGTCCCTAGACTGGGTTCACCGTTTCTACTGCCAGCCACAGAGCGGTTGCTAAAGTCAGTCCTTTCGCTGCCCCGTGCTGACCCTTCGATAGAGTCCACTTCAACCCCTGGCCCTCCGTCCCCTGCAACGGGTACCGCCACTCAACCTACTACCGAAGGAAGATGGAGGAATCTGTGGGAAACAAGGGACAGTCTTGGGAGGAGTGTGTGTGTGTGTGTGTGTGTGTGTGTGTAAGGGACTGGCTGGACAGGCTGAGACTTTCTCTACTGCAGCATCAGAGGCTGAGGGGGTGACCTTATAGAGCTTTATAAAATCATGAGGGGCACAGGTAAAGCGAATGGCGGGTGCCTTTTCCCTAGGGTGAGGGATTTCCAGACTAGGGGGCATATTTTTAAGATGAGAGGAGAGAGATTTAAAAAGGGCATGAGGGGCAACTTTTATTTAATACACAGAGTGGTTGGTGTGTGGAATGAACTTCCAGAGGAAGTGGTGGGTGCGGGTACAGTTACAATGTTTAAAAGACATTTGGATAAGTACACGGATAGGAAAGGTTTAGAGGGATATGGGCCAGGAGCAGGCAGGTGTGGGACTAGTTTAGTTTGGGATTATGGTTGGCACGGAGTGGTTGGACCAAAGGGTTTCTTTCTGTGCTGTACGTCTGTGTGTATGTGCGCACATAAGTGAATACGTGAGTGTGCATCGGTGTGCAAATGCGTGTACGTATGTATGTATGAGGGAGTGTATGTGTTAGCGTGTATACGTCTGCACATGTCTATGTTATTGGGTTTCAGCTATAAGGGACAGACTGAATGGGCTGAGACTTTTCCACTGCAGCATCAGAGGCTGAGAGGTGTCTGCATTTGTGTGCGTGTATGTGTAGCCGTGTGCGCGTGACTGAGTGTGAGATAGAGTGTACCCAGTGGGTTGGATTGGGAGAGGGTGGGGTGTAAAGGCGAGTGCATACGTACGTTTGAGTGTCTACAGGTGTGAAGGTGAGGCACACCGGACTCCGATTCAGGGCAATAGTAACCAAGGCCACTCCTGCCATCCCGTGCCTACCTGGACGCCATTCTTCCTCACCCAGGCCCGAAGCCCGTCGACATTCCAAGACGTGATTTTGAGGTCACTATGTTTGCCGTCCTCCGTCTCCAGCCTGTCAGGTGTATCCTCAAAGGCACCATCCGTGTCCGCACCATCGTCCTTTGCAGTCCCGACTGCCCCTTTCCCCCCGCCGCGCCTTGGTTTCTTGGTCACAGCTGCTGAGGGAGGGAGAAGCAGACGGGACTCAGTCCGAACTGAAAGGCACCGAACACAGCCAAGGGGCAACCGGTCCAGGGCAGCAGCTCAGCGGGACCCAACAATAACTTGACTCCAAACAAGAGAGAATCTAACCATTGCCCCCCTGACAGTCAATGGTGTTACCATCACTGGAACCTCCCCACCAACTATCAACATCCTGGGGGTTACCGTCTCCAACAAGAGAGAATCTAACCATCGCATCCCTGACAGTCAATGGTGTTATCATCACTGAATCTCGCCCCCCCGCCTCCACTATCAACATCATGGGGGTCACCATTGACCAGAAACTGAACTGGACCCAGCCCCACGTAAACACAGCGGCTACAGGAGCAGGTCAGAGGCTGGGAATCCTGCAGCGAGTAACTCCCGTCCTGACTCTCCTCCTGTCCCACCATCGACAAGGCACAAGGCAGGAGAGGGAGGGAATACTCCCCACTTGCCCTGGATGGGGGTGGGGGAGGCAACTCCAACAACACTCGAAAAGCTCAACACCATCCAGGGACACAGCAGCCCCCGCTCGATGGGCACCACATCCACTCCCCCCACCACCGACGCTCAGCCGCAGCAGTGTGTACCATCTACAAGATGCCCTGCAGAAACTCGAGGCTCCTTAGACAGCAGCTTCCAAACCCCCACGGCCATTTCCATCCAGAAGGGCAAGGGGCAGTAGGTATATGGAAACACCAGTCCCCTGCAAGTTCCCCCCCTCCAAGCCACTCCCCATCCCGTTTTGGAAATATATCACCGTTCCTTCGGTGTGGCTGCATCAGAATCCTGGAATTCCCTCCCTAAGGGACATTGTGGATCTACTCTACAGCACATGGACTGCAGCGGTTCAAGAAGGCAGTTCAGTACCATCTTCTCAAGGGGGCAACTAGGGCCAGGGGCCAGCCTGAAACACCCACAATTCATGAACTTTTTAAAAATCCAGGCCTGGGCTGGTATGGAGTTAAATACAGTGGATGCAACAAATAGATTTGGGGCATAGATCTTTAAAATGTCACAAAACAGGCGCAGAATGTTATGTGGAAAACAAAAGGAGTGCTGGCCTTTTCTATCTAGAGGATTAGAGTATAAGGGCGCAGGAGTTATGCAAAACCCCAGTTAAGCCCCATTTGGGAGGACTGTGAGCAGATATGGGCACCACACTTTAGGAAAGGTAAAATAGCCTTGGCCGGAGTACAACACAGGTTTACACAAACGATATGAGTTACGTTCTGAGGAGTGATGACACAAATGAGGCCAGTTTTCTCGAGAGTTTAGAAAGTTAAGTGGTGATCTGAGTGAAGCCTAACAAGATATTAACAGGACGAGGCAGGGTAGATAAACTATTTCCACCAGTTGGGGAATTGAGAACGAAGGGAGTAAAGTCTGAGAATTAAAGCGTGTGTTCAGGATGTTAGGAAGCATTTCGACACACAAAGGGTGGGAGATGTTTGGAAGGTGGGTGTCAAACAGCTTCCTCCAGTTCCTATATTGAATTGCGTTACTGTGACTAAATCCCTCACTACCAACATCCTGGGGACTCACCATTGAGCAGAAACTGAACTGGACCAGCCATACAAGTAGCAGTGGGTCAGAGGCTGGGAATCCTGCAGCGAGTAACTCACCTCCTAACTCCCTAAAGCCTGTCCACCAGCGACAATGCTTCACAAGAGACCGGTGAGCCCTCAGCTGGAATATTGTGTACAGTCGCGAAAGCCACATTGTAGGAAAGATGTGGACGTATCGGAGAGAGTGAGTGCAGAAGGGATTTTTACAAGAACGGCCTAGGGATGAGGAACTCCAGCAACGAGGACAGATGGAAGAAGTTGGGGACTGTTCTCCCTTGGAGAGAAGGTAGCCGAGGGAGGGGAGTTTACCAAGAGGTTTCCAAATTCATGGAGTGGGGGCCAAACAGAATAGACAGAGGGGAAGGGAGAAGTTCATAAAAGGTACAGGAACGAGAGGGATGTAGATTTAAAGTGACGCGTGCAAACAGAGCAAGGGCGATGCGAGAGAAAACTTTCTCACCCAGCCAATACCGGGGGTCTGGAATGCACTGTCTGGAAATGTGGGCATGTTTAATTGTGATATTCGAGGGGGCAACCGGATGGTTATTTGAGTCGGGTCATCGGGAAGGCAAACGGAGCATTGGCCTTTATTTCACAGGGAACGGAGAATAAAAGCCCAGGAGGTTTCGTTAAAACTGTACCAGGCACTAGTCAGACCACAGCTGGGATATGGCAAACAGTTTCAGGACCCCGTATCCAAGCAGAGATAGACCGGCCATCGTAGGCAGCCCAGAGAAGGTTCGCTCGGCTGATCCCAGGGATGGAGGGACTGTCGGATGTTGTGAGAGGTTGAGACGGTTGGGGCCTGTATCATTGGGAGTTTGGAAACATGAGGCCTGATCTGATTGCAGCAGGAACTTCTTCATTCAAAGAGATGTGAATCTGTGGAATTCCCTGCTGCCCAGTGAAGTAGTCGAGGGTACCTTGTTGAATGTCTTTGAAGCTTAGATCGATAACTATTTGAATAGTAAAGGAATTAAGGGTCACGGGGAGAGGGTGGGTAAGTGGAACTGAGGCCATTAAAAGATCAGCCATGATCTCACCGAATGGCAGAGCAGGCTCAAAAGGCCAGATAACCTACTCCTGCTCCTGGTTCTTATGTAATGTCCTTAGCGGGGAGGGAACCTGACAGGGGAGGATGTGGAGAGGGTGTCTCCCCCACTTCTCCTTGTGTGGGACAGTCTAGGACCCAGAGGGGCATCATCTCAGAATACAGAGATGGGGAGGAATTCCTTCTCTCCGAGGGGGGAACAAGTCTGTGGGGTTCTTTACTGCTGGCGGGGGGGGGGCTGACAAGGCTGCGTGTACTGAGTATATTCGAGGCTGGGACGGAGAGAGAGGGGTTTGTAATCAGGAAGGGGAATCAAGGGGAGAAAGGCAGGAGGGTGGGAGATGAGGATTGTATTCACCAGGCTTTATACGGTTCAGGGGCTAAAGGGTAGTTGTTGGGTTAAGGGGCAGTTATGAGGCTCAGGAGTAGTTTTTGGGATAAGGGGGTAGTTATAGGGTGGTAAAAAGCTTAAGGGGTGGTTTTAGGGTGAATGATATCGTTTTTGGGGCTAAATAGATAGTTATAAGATAGTCATTGCGTTAAGTGGCAGTTATTGGGTAAAGTGATAGTTATAAGGCTAGTTACTGGGTAATTACAAATTTTTAAAGGGTAATTACTGGGCTAAGGGGATAGCTACGGGGCGGTTACAAGGTTAGGGGCCAGTTTTTGGGTTAATGATCTAGTTATGGGGCTAAACGGGTAATTACAGGATAGTTAGTTAGTTAATGGACAGCTGAGTTAAGGGGGTAGTTACGGGGTGGTTACAGGGTTAAGGGGCAGCTATTGGGTTAGTTATAGTCTAAATGTGCAACTATTGGATTAAGGGGGGAGTTATGGGGTTAAGGGCGTAGTTATTAGGTTAAGTGACTGGTTATATCAGAGGGATAGTTATAAGGCTAAGGGGTAGTTGTTGGGTAGTTATTGGGTTAAGGGGTAGTTATTGGGTTAGAGGGATAGTTATAAGGCTAAGGGGTAGTT